TATAATATGCCTAACACTTGGTCGTACAGTTGCTCTGCTGTACTGCGGTTCCACTCCGACTCAAACATAAAATAATAATATTTTTTATAATCATCATCGCGCCAAACGCGCGCACGCTACACTATTACTTATATTATAATAACATTCGTCCGACCGACCTCGTGGTCTCGCGCCGCAGTTGGACGTCGACGTCGACAACGAGCATACGAATGTCACACGGAGACTCGAATACAACACAAATCGAAATAATTTATCTTCAAATAACGTTAATACAAAATATTAAACCTATTATTATAGTATCGAAAATATAAATTTTTCGTCATGTTCGCGGCCGTCCCGCCGCGGCTCCTGTCGCTGTTGCTGCTTCCGATGGTCTTGTCGCCGCCGCCGGCCGCTCTCGCCGCCAACATATTGGCGTTCATGCCCATACCGTTAAAAAGCCACTTCGGAGGGTTCCAGCCGTTGTTCGAGGAGTTGGCCAGCCGTGGCCACAACGTCACCGTGGTCAGCTCGTTCCCGTTGGTGAACCGAAGCGTCCCGAACTACACCGACGTGGACGTGACGCCCGAAAAAGGACTTCACGGTGAGCATATATACACGCGTGCCCATAATATTGTATTCGAGAGCACGGCCTAGGGACAAGATCCGAGTCAATTGCATCGATTTTTCTTGACTACCTGTCTGTAATCCAGCGCCATCGGATTTATCACAAATCAATTAGGTATGCGTAACGTGACCATACGTCCCGCTTTTGAAATAAGTGGGTAGGGCTAAATGTCCGGCTATAAGAAGATTCGACATGTGGTAGGTATCTATTGATCACATATCACAATCATACATCTATACTGTACCTATACAGTTAACAGTACATGATGCATACCGACATATTTTATATATATACTGCAAAACACTAAAACACATAGTCCATATACTTTTGAGAGACTATTATGATTAATATATTATTTGCGTTTTTCTGTTGTCATTTTTCATATAAACAATTAATGTTTTTTTTTTCAATAAAAAAAAATGTTATTTTACGCAAAATTATACATAATATGGTTTTCTTATTAAAATGTACAGGTGTCCCGCTTTAAAGAAAAAAAATTATGGTCACGTTAGGTATACGCATCGATTGCACCAGGAAAATTGAAATATTTTCAGATATTTGATTTCTAATACATTTTAACAAGACGTGTAGTATAAGTTAAACAGTCAAAAATACCTGTTGATTATTAAATTATATTAAATTATTAAGTCTCAAATCGAAAAACATCAAAATACATAATAACATAGAATAATAAAATTTGTTAAAAATGTAATTTTTAGGCTCAGTATCGCCTGCGCAATTGATGCATAAACTTTTTGAATCCCGTGATTTTTTTCCTTACTATTAGGTACCTGTGATTTCTGGCCCAATTGACGTATGTCCAAAAATCCAGACATGCATTATTATTACGCAGACCACATTTATAAGACTATGTCATAGGTGTAACTCAGTATTTACGTCCTATCTTGCAGTGGCGTCATTTTGGGGTATTTGCCATTGTCTGGTTCGAAAAACAGCACGATTGGCCAGTACCCAGTTGTTATTGTCTGTAATATTATATTTGGCGATTCATTGAAAAACATGCCTATTTTAAAAATATTTCGAGAAATATTGTATTGTGTATTACGAAATTATTGTCACAATGATAAATTGTTAATATAATTAATTATAATAGTTGGAATATAATTATATTTAGACGCATGAGTGGGTTTTCATGAAATTTGGTACYTATACCTATGTGTATATTTTATAAAAGTAAAGGAAATAGGAATATAATAATAAGCATACGCTTGTGAGAGWAGCTTCCCGTTTCTTAATTCTTTTAAGTTACCTACCCATTTGTGTAATTCAAAACTTTTGTCCCCTCTTTTAAAAACTGAAATGGTACAACTATTATAAGTGTATAATTATATTTTTATAGAAACATTCTTGAGTTTATTATTAGGTACCTATTTAATATATTACTTTATTATTGATTATTGCACACATTTTTTTWAAWTAAAATTTTTTTATTTAGTTTGTCATTTTTAGGGGCTTAATTTTACTGAGGAAAAAACTTAGCGCCAGCTGTCTTTACGAACTGCTGAGCCAGCAAACTGCCGTAGCAGTTGTTTYTTTAGTACTGCTATAGCAATATAGTACCCCGCCATTACTTCAAATAAATTATGCGCGCAAGACAAAAAAATATTGTTAGTACATAAATGTTTGTTCACGGAAAAAAATAGTTTGTGTCTAATTATATTTATACACATTATACTCGTATCATTATCATCACTTTTTTTTAAATTCAGTATATAGGTTTAAATAAACTAATTTCTACATCGCAAACAACCAGTACATACCTTTGAATACAGTATACGTATATGCATAGTGCATACCGTTGTAAATAGACTCATGATATAATAACTTTGAATAAGATTTTTTTCTAAATGTTGTCTTAATAACATTCTGATTTCTGATTATGTCTTTCGAGTTAGGATAAAATACAAAATCGATCATGTCAAAAACTGATGTTTGGTATGATATTTCCGTTTTCCTTTTTTTTTTCTTTTTTTTTCTTTTTTTTTATTATTTACAATTAAGCACAGTGGACACGCAGTTGACTACGACTCACACAGTCATCGGTTCGATTCATAGCAAGGTGCAAAAAAAATTTGTGTGGTTTTACGCGATCACCAAATCCCCACGCTGTCGTCCGATTGCGTCATCCGGTTTCCAASTAGGTTCCACTCCAATGTGACTTGGGAGTGAAGACCGCACATGTCTCCTCTTGGAGAACGGGGTTAGTATCATGCATATAGTGATATATACATAGATAAATAGATCACATGATCTCCCTACTACCCACTTGTGAGTTGTGATAAGCATTGACGAAGACCTATAGAGGTCGTTTCAATGRACAAATACAATACAAAAAAAATTTCCAGTTAATAAAAAAAGTTTTGTGAAATATCTATTTTTAAAAGCAAAAAAACAAACTTTGACCTTTCAAAGTTTCAAAGTACAAACAAGAAATAAAAAATAAGATAATTTTGTGGTAATAATTATTAAAATATAGTATACTAGTTACAATTTGCTATTAAAAATTTAATTTTATAAAATTAGAATGTTTTAACGACACCAGTTTTCGGTTGATATACCTATAGAGAAAGGAATGATCGTAGATACTTTAAATACTTATTAATTTTATCATTCTCGTTTAATATACATTATGAAATTTTCAATATATTAAGACAAATTTTAAGTTATTATTGATTATGGTAAACCATCACGCGTGGGATGCTTTATTTTCGTTTAAATAGTACCTATGTACTCATTGATGATTTTTTAAATAAGTTGATCATACCAATTAATTAAACTTCTAAAAACATATTCGAATTCGTCATGAATTCAGACAAAAATATTAATTTTTTGAAATATACTTGTGTACTGAAATATTATACAACCTTGTTTACTCAAAAATTGTACAGCAATCAAATATTATAAAAACTACTAATAGGTATACATAAGTATTTATCGTGTTTTTATAAGCTTTTGAGCTTAAATTGTCCGTCTTCTTCAATGAGAATTGKTTTTTTCACWTACAAAGATTTATCACATTGAACTCACACGAAACACATTAATTTTACCATGGCGAGGTACTTTTTAAACYTAACCTACTATATYACGCAATAGGAATGAATTTTCAATTTTTCTTTATTTTTTTATAACTCGTCCACTTTAGCGTGCGACACTGCACCAACTATTGCAAAACCATATTATCTATCGTATAGGTATTAATATTATTTTTAATTTTCTCTGTCCATTATATTATGTTGTTACAGAGGTTAACATTACGGAATTGATAGATTTAAATTTCTTAACGTCAGTGACGAACCGATGGTTTTTAGCCCATATCTTGTCAGCCCAAATGGAGCACGCGAATTTAATAGACTTTTTGAAGTCTGAAGACAACTCGTTCGATTTGGTCATGGTCGAATCGTTCCTACAGGAATACACCGTGGCCATAGGTCATAAATATAACGCTCCCGTCATCAACTTGTCGCCGGCAATGGTCTGGGTCAGCATCAGCAAGTGGCTGCATATACCTTCGACATTTTCGTATGTGCCGGATTGCTGCATAGGCGTGACGGACGACATGAGTTTCACGGAGCGCTTAAAGAACACCATTGTTGGACTTGTAGAGATGTTCGTTGAGGACTACCTGTACATTCCGATGATAAAGGCGAAAATGAGTAAGCATTTCGCATACGTTGGATGGGAGTCGAGGCCGACGCTCGAGCAAATGCTGAATAACGTATCACTGACGCTGATGAACGCTCACCATGCGGTCGGAGTGTGTCGGCCGTATTTACAGGGCGTCATCGAAGTAGGAGGAATGCATATTAGAGAACCGAAATCGTTACCCAAAGTGAGCCCTAATAATATTCGATAGAAATAACCATTGTAAAACAGATAATTTATATAATGTAAAACCAAAAGTACTCGAATTATAGGAAAAATTAAGTAGCGGGGCGCGTAGAGATTTGTCTCACTTAGCGCCCCCCCCCCACCTCTCCACAGATCGATCCTACATTTCGATTATTATATATTTTGATCTTAGTTATAACTTATGAGTTATATTGTATTTCAAATTTAATCAAAAATGTGAAATCGTAAATGCCGTTATAAGTATAGGTAGGTATATCGTCGACAACAATTAAAATTAAAATTTTGATAAAAAATATTTCGGGCATTAAAACTCTGTCTCTTTGCGCACTTCCCCTCTCCGTGTTTTCAACTCACTCGAGCGCACATAAAAAATTTGAAAATTATTCGTATTAACTGAGTAAATTTGTGGGGGGGAGGGAAGGGCTATATTTTGTTTGAAAAATAATTAGTCAAAATGTGGATCAGATCCTCAAAATTACTGTTTAAAATTTAAAATTTAAATGGTCTAATGAATTTTTTTAAATTATTATATATATCAATAATTATTAGTTGTCTTCAAAAATCAAAATATATGTACTTTTGATATCATAACAAATAATTTACGCTTACCAATTAAATATATCAATAAGTTTGATGACATTGTATGTCAAACACACTTTATAATGAAAAAAAAAATATTATCACTTATTTACTAATCTAAAAATTGTATTTTTTAGGATTTACAAGATTATATTGATTCAGCAACTAACGGTGTCATATATTTTTCTTTTGGTTCAATCATAAATTTATCAAATTTACCAAAAGAAAAATTGAGTATTTTTCTCAATGTCATCAGTCGTTTAAAAGAAAAAGTGATCATAAAATGGGTACCAGATAAAAGTATAAAGTTGCCACAGAATATAAAGGTCGGTTCGTGGTTGCCTCAGAACGATATCTTAGGTAATTCGTTATTTGAGTTTAATCGAGAATACAATTAAATATAAAAAACATAAAACGCATTTTATAACTGTATGTATGCAGCTCATCCAAATGTGAAACTTTTTATTACTCATGGGGGCTTACACAGTATCGAGGAAGCTGTGTACAATGCAAAACCGGTGATCGGCATACCAGTTTTTGCTGATCAACATTCGAATTTGAGACGGGTCGAAAAAATTGGTTATGGAAAGTTTATAACATTTGATCAACTAACCGAAGAATCATTTGGAAACGCTATCGAAGAAGTTATATCAAATCCGACGTGTGTACCTATATAATAATATATTTTATTATTTTATACAGTAGATGTATAGCACATAACATAAGTACACATAACACTGTGTTCAATTTTTCCATTTTGTTAAACAGGTTTAAGGATAAAGCAATGATCCAAAGTCGTGTGTACAAAGATCAACCGATGAACCCTTTAGATCGAGCAATATACTGGATAGAGTACGTTATTCGGAACGATGGAGCTCAATACCTAAAAGCTGGATCTTTAGAACTAAACACTGCTCAGTACTTTTTGTTTGATGTCACATTATTTTTACTTTTACTAACAGTAATTTTTACTTGGTTGGGTTACCGTGGAATAGTTAAAGTTTCATCAAAACGTAAAGCTAATTAAATCTAAAAAATTAATTACATTTTTCATTGTAAATATTTCTTACACTTCGACTTGATTGATAATTATCGTGCTCGTATTTGATTTTAATGCATTTATAATCGTGTTATAGATTGATTATAAATTATTAATAATTTGGATGAGTCAGTTTTTACGATTGATACTCATTCACAAGCAACAACATGGACAATAAATCTGTAGGGAGAAACTGACAAGAAGTGGTGGGAAAACAAACATTTCTAAGAAGTTATGATTTTTAATAGAATTGAATTGATTTATTTCATTATCTGTCAAAATTATGTATATCCGACTATAAAAAAAAATTGATTTTTAATTTTAATTGTACAATATTATATTACATTTGTTAATAAAAATTTGATTTTTAGATAATTATTTCTACTTACTTATATCACATTTGTTAGATTTTCATTATTTTAACTATCAAAAATAATATTTATTCATTTAACATGTGAAAAAAAAATATTAATTAGTAATTAACTAAATGTATTGATGTATTTTATTAATATACTATTAGGTAGGTACCTAATCCAGTGGTTTTCAAACTGGGTGCCGCAGCACACTAGGTGTGCCACGGTTTTTCCATAAATTACCTATTGCATTGTATTGCGATATAAGAAAATAATAGCTTTCAATAATAATATGTATAAAAACATTGACTATTCTTTTGCCGTTCTCAACCTCATATCTTTGTGAACAAGGGTTTTCAGTACCTATAACTTACGAATATGAAAAATAAAAACGAGAAAAATTAAGTTCAGTGGAAGAAGAAATGYGGGTGTGTCTGTCAACTATTAGTCCAAGAAATAAAAATATTTGTTAGCCCATCAATCACACATTTCTAATTAAATGTATATAAAATTATAATTAATTTAAAACARTTTTGTACWTATAAATAAAGGTTAATGTGCCGAGAAAATYTTTTGAAATGTACGGTGTGCCGTGTATAATAAAAGTTTGAAACCCATCACTGACCTAATCTATTAAATTCTGTAATACCTATATTACATAATCGAATGTGTCCTGATTGACTGAATGATGAATATMAATTTTAGTAAATAGTAGCTATTCCATCATTGAAAATAGTATTTATTCAACCAACACATAGAAGTGTAAATTATAAAATAAATATTGAGTTAAGTACGACTACAATTGTGTCATACCTACAGGTTGTCCGTTTTAATTTCACAATCTAATATTATTGTATTAAAACAAATTAAATCTTTTTTCCCTCGTGWTTTACATGCAAAAAGAGACAACAATCAGGCCACAAGCGAACGGTTTGCAGTTACCTTACCGTGATCCCGTGGTACTGTCAAACAACCGTCGAAATTGGTATCCAAAATATTTACAAGTGGCATAATCACTCTATCCTCTCTATACATCCGTGGGTTAGGCGAACAARGAGGAAACACCAAAAGACAGAAATCTGAATATCAAACTCGTAGGACATGGGACGCCATACCCGCATGTGTTATTTTCTCCGTCTTACAATAAACGTACCTAAAATATTATGGCAAAAACTGTTTTTCACAGGACAACTTATTTACACTCTTTGTATTTATATTAGAATTACCGAAATTCCATAACGCATAAGGAAGTACTTTATCTGAGTCGTAGACGATTTATTATTTGGATATCGTATTAAACACAATTAAAGTTATCAGTCATGGAATTTTGGTAATTCCTTTATAAGTACAAAGGGACTAAAKKTGTCTCGCTCAAAACAGTTTTTGCCATGTTGTACAATGGAGAGAAAACATCGTCCTYTTAAAAAAAAAAAAACATATTTGCCAGTGGCAAATTGATGAAAGTGGCAGTTCTGTTTCGGAGCTATGAAAGTTACAAACAACGCCGTGAAGAYACCGCAGCCATTATCATCTGTATTCTGTATWTACGAATAATTGCTTCTAATTTTAAATATTAACCCAAAAATATTTTAGTTTTAATTTTAATTTTTTTTTATAAATTCAATAGTTAATAAATAGTGTTAAGCATAATTATATTCATTATTAATCAATCTCTTTTAATAGAAATGCATTTTAAAAATTCCACTAAATCTTATTAAAAATTAAAAATGTATAACTATTAAACTTTTACTATAATTAAATTCAAAAAGATTTAATAATAGATAAAATCAATATTAAAAATTTACTTATATATAGAAAATAATTTAAATGATTCAAGCACTGAAAAGAGTAAAAGCTTTAATAATATATTAAATATATTAATAACGAACTTTAAATAACTAACGATTTAGAAATTAATGCAAATAAATTAATAACTCAGATACAATTTCAAACACTAGTAACAATATTGTCAATTGATATAAAAATAATTTAGAGACAGCCACTGTACACTGATAATATTATTATTTATATTTAACTAACATTACTAATAGTATTCTACTTTGACGTACATACTATATAAACATGTATGTAACATTTAACTTGATTTAATATAAATTACAATTTGAGAATAAATCAAAATTAAAGCTATATTTACAATTTCTTATTGGTCTAAATAATATGTATTGTGATATTTATGAGTATATTAATTCATTTATATAATTATATTGGAACTTAACAAGTTACCTCTTATTTATTAAAAATGTATAATGTTTGTTAGTCATTTTTCTTATTCGTTTCACGTTCGTATAATATTTGTATCCAAAGTCTTTAATTTTTTATCTTGTTAATTGTAGTTTTATCATGGACATTATTTTTTAAAACTCAATTGAATCCAATGAAATGTATAATAGATGATTAATGAAGACTAGTCAAAAGTCATATAAACACAAACACACAGTTCTATRTCTATCAAGATTTGAATAGTTTACCAATTTCACATTGAAATAATTAAATCCTTATTGAAATATTGTGTTTATATAAATGATTGTATATATTTTATTGAATATGTTTTATTTTTTTTTACATTTTATAACGCAATATTATTAGGTCAACATATTATATACTAATTCGACTAATTCGACAACTACAAATCCTATGTAATCTAGAGATTAACATAATCTGTATGAAAAAAAACAATTATGCGTGTAGTCTCAAGTATCTGTGCACATTAAAATATTATTTTACGTTAGCATCATATTGGATCTAAATTTATATTTATCTAAATATTATTCACATAGTGTAACAAAAGCATTGTTGTTTTTTAAAACTACAATAAACCACTTTTAGTCAGATTCAAAAAGGTATAATTATCAGTATATATTTATAATACTATTGACTATTGTAATAATAATAATAATATGCCACTGCCGTAAATTCACCGACATCAGAGCTAAGCTCAACATAGAAGACAATCTGGAAGAAGCTCTAAGTCCTCAGCCAACCAACATTGAAAAATTAATCAATTATTTAAAACAAACTAAACTATATAAAATTATTTAATCTATTATATCTCAATCCTTTTTTTCATACTATTATTATTATTATTATTATTATTATTATTATTATTATGTACATATTATTGTTAATGATTCATTCTTGTGTAAAAAAATATTAATGTTTAGGACCAATAACCTTTGTTGTTGAGGCTCAATTAAAAAAAAATAAAAAAAAAAAAAATAATAATATGGTAGGTAAAGTAAAATGCTATAAATATCATATTAGCTTTCAGACGTTTGAAAGCATCGACAACAATTATATACTTAATCGTAGTACTTTTTTTTTTTATTTATTTATAAAGTTTTCCTGACAATTGGTCATCTAAACTTAAGGCTAGTCGTAGTACTAACAATAATAATAATATATTAAAAAAGCGTTTCCGAACGTATTGCAACGGAAAACGATATCAAATCATTAGAAATAGTAAAATAAATTAAAACAAATAAATAATATATTTAAATGAACGATTACGATGGCAATATTTCCTCGTCATCGGGGTGTTCGGTTTAACACCTGCAGTGGCGTCATCGAGTCTCCACCCAATTACACTGAAATCGAGTCTATATAGACAGATTAAAAATGATATCTGTAAACATTTATTTTATGTTGTTGTTGCAGTGGACGGTGCATGTGGTTTTGGAGTCGAATTGAGGACGATGGGTCTTCTCAGTTTCTTCTTGTTGTGGAATGACTCCTCGATCTCCTGCAGCGTCTTGTTTTTGGTCTCCGGGCAGAARTAATAGCAGAATATGATACTGACTATGGATATGAGACCATACACTGCAAACGTACCGGGCTTGCTGACCGTATCCTGAAGAATCGGGTACGTCTGGAGCACGATGAATATGGAAAAATGRCCGCTGCACGTTGCCACGCCACCGAGCAGACCTCGGATCTGTCTGGGAAACACTTCGCCGATCATCACCCACGGCACGAGCAGAAAGCCGACCGTCGAACATGCGTAGAACACGAACAGGCTCACGATCGGGAACCACGTGGCCGAGGCTGGTTGCCCGGCCGCCGTCCAAGCGACGTTCAAATACATGTAACCGGATAGGCAYAGCAAAGATATGCCACAACCCACACCTGTAAAWAAAAACGTATCGTATGCATGATACCGACATCGTTACCACGGTTAGAGTATAGCTGGATTCCCAAAGACCCTCCGTGTGTTTCGTATCGAACGAATTTTAGTACCTATACTGGCTATACTCGATAAATAACATAGGCGCAAATAGGGAATTTCAAGTATTTTCAACAAAGGGAGGTTTCCGTCCTACTAGTCATATTTTAATTTTTTCTCTACAAAAATTACATTAATACGATAATAAATCCTGGGGGGGGGGCTGAATTCACATAAGGGGCTCAGCCCCCCCCCAAGCCTCACCCTATTTACGCCTTTGTCGATAATATAATACGACTACATGGTCGTCGTTAATCCCGACRACACCGAACGGCTCATAGTATACGCACAAGATATGTAAGAGAGAGGTTTCTGGCCTAATCGAAACATCATCATGCAGCCAATCACGGTGAATACCATCCGAACGATTCCCAGTATGACGGTGGCCAAGTAATTGTCCATAGTAGAACCCGAATCCTGTAACAGCGATGAAGTCAAGACAAACGCATTACAACATATATACAGGGTGACTCTTTTATCAARCAACACTTATATGGTGTTTGTGTGTAAATACCAMCTAACATACACCTATATACATATAACACACAAACACCGCCCAAAACCACCCAACTTTGGGATTAACGAAAAATGAAAATKAAAACGTGAAAATTCATTGAAAAAATAGCCTTTTTAGTTTATGAAATTTGAAGTATAGGTTGTCATTTGAAAATCAAAAGTTGATAATGGTTAACCTGATAAATATAAGGGTGAAAATATATAGTTCTAGAACAAGATGGTTCTAAAATTTTGAAAAAAAAAATTTGAAAAAAGTTAATAGTTTTTGAAATAATGAGTGTTGTTTGATAAAAAAAATCACACGGTATATGTATGACACCGCTGGTTAGCGCAACAACACTGACCCGTATRACGTCGACCGCGTAAAACGTGACCACGTTCAGTCCGGAGAATTGGCTAAGCAAGAAGTAGATGGAGACGATCACGAACGGCTTGTACGCGGACGGCCGGCAGATGAGTCGGACCTTCTCCTTGAACGAAATCGACTYGTCTGCACTGGAGCACATGAGCAAGTCGTTGACTTCGGTGTCCACGTCGCACTTCCTGTCTCGTACCCGTAGCAGGCTGGACCGGCACCGGTTCTCGTCGTTCTTGSACGATATCAGCCACGTCGGCGATTCCGGTATGAAGAATACCAAGCACAGCGCGATCGCGGGCATCGTAGCGTTGAAGTACGCCAACGTGTCCCAGTTTGATACCGAGCCGATAAAATACTCCAACAAAACGCCTGCACCGTTTTCATCACGACGGAGTTATTAATGCAGGTGCTAGTGTGCGAACAATGTTCATCGGCAAAAATAAAAACTAAACCGTAGCTCACCCACAGACGTGCCGATCGACGCGAACGCGACCAACACGCCACGAAGGTGCGGCTGCGACACTTCGGACGTGTACACGCGGGACGGCGAGCCGATCATGCCGGAACTCAGGCCCGCCAGGAATCTTCCCGCGTAAATCCACTGGACTGTTGTCGCGGAACCCACCATCAACCACCCGACGATAGCGGGAAACTGCAAGACGATTAAGGTCTTCTTGCGGCCCAACAGGTCGGTGAAGTAGCTGGCCAGTATGCATCCGCAYGKYGTTCCGATKGTCGACACGCTAGCTACGACAATGAGAGTTCTGTGTAATTATTATCAATCATAACCATTAGCATATTTTTATCGTCGTCATCATTATCACATAGCTACAATCGATGGTGCGACCGTCAAACATCGTTCTAATCGGAACTCACCTATCCAAGAGGCTTGATGTCTGTCGATTGAAATCCTGGACCCGGCCGTCATAAGTTGAGGTAAACTGACGGCGGTGTAGCCGAACACGAGCCCAATGTTTATGGTGCCCCAGTTGGCCGATAAGGCGACGAGGATCTGAAATAACGATTTTTTATCATCAAGTGTGCGTCGCAGACGGAAATCATGGGTTTAGTTCGTTTATCGTCTAATAACGTAGTCATAGTGCACAACGAATTAAAACAATTTGCGAATTTTTGTGATGTTTACGTATTTTCTCAAAATTCAAAATTTGAATGCTTATTAAAAAAAATTGTGACTATGAATTTATTTTGTTTTTCAACTGCTATTGTAACAAAATGTTAAGAGGACGCTACACCCGCATGTGTTGTCTCCGTCTTACAAGTGCGTAACATTGCAAAAACTGTTTCGCGCAGGAAAGAACTGAAAAAGCTACAGTCATAACTGAGAAACGAAATTTTCACCACATAAAAAGGAGAATTTTGTCTGTGCAATATCGTTTTTATTTTTTCGATATCTGAACTACAAAAAAAGTTATTCATGCTTCAAAAACACAAAATTAATGTATTATAAAACAATAAGATTTTTTTTTGTACAAGTGATATCGAAAAAATAAAAACGATATTGCACAGA